AAAAAACACAACGCCCGCTGACGCGACCGCACACGACGAACTCCCGCCACAGAATGAAGAATCTTTCTGAAGAATGCCAGAAAAATATAAACAATTGGACAAAGCTAGCGGTAACATTACCGTGAGCTCCGCCCAACTGTCAAAACAAATGGGCGGAGACGGCTGTGTCGTCATGGCTGGCTCCACCCAGTTGTTGTCATTTGCGGCTTCTGACTACCGCTCAACCATGCCGAAGCATATGGGCTTGGCTGAGCCGCTCAGCTGCCTTCCGCAGCTGTACAATCTATTGTGAATAGCCCGTACAGCAGCCCTTCGGTTCCACTGAACCTAAGGGCTCTGGCAGCTGAAGTGAAGCTACGGTTAGATCCTGCGGCTCCTTAGTGAATAACCCTCTTAGTCTGGCCTTTTCTGCAATCTTCCTTTGTTGAAAAAGTAGAAGTCTCCCAGCTCACTAAAATCATCAAATATTTAATAAATCCACATATTGCATCATATAAGAACTATTATTAGCTTGAGAGATCCACCATTACAGAGCTGGGCTGGGAAAAAGGGACCAAACACAAAATTCATAGCCCCCGGCTGGTAATAATAATAATAAAGGTTATTCAGGAATAGTACTATCTAATATATGAAAGTCTGGTTTCCATGGTACTGGAATTCAATTTTATGACCAACGAGAATATTTTTTTTGTACCCACAAGCAGGTATAATGTTTGCACACAGTTGCTAGTTTTACCCTGCTCAGGGGAAGTTAGCTCAACACACAAATGACCTGTCTGTCATCTCTCAATAAAGGGAGGGGGCTACTCTCATTCCCTTCCAAGGTTTGTATAATCCTTTGACCATCATCACATTTGTTAATAAACTTTTGGGGTCCTTCAGGATTCTACGTACTCCCGGGCCAAGAATCAATCATCCTGCTTGTCATGTATTTGGGTTTCATTGGTTTCTATGTTATTTTTTATCTTATTTTCATAACTGTTCACAGATTTGATAGTATGTCTTGTTCTGACCTAATTGTATTTTTGAAGATAAAGTGCTGTTTCACCTTTCTGGAATAATAAATCATAAGGTTATTAAGTTTGTCATTAAGTGTTCTAACATCCTCCCTCAAGACAGAAGAGCGTATTTGTTAATTGCATATGTTAACCATTTTGTAAAATAAAGGATTTTTTTTTTAACCTAAAACTGAACTAACTATTTTGTTGCTGGATTATCTAGTTAACCCATAACTGCTGGTGAACAACTGGGGGGGCCAGAGGAAGGGGAGGGAGGTATGTGTGGCTGTCCATGGCCTAAGCTTATACTTGCCAAGAACAGGAGTGTGTATGTGACTGCATCACAAATTTGTGCAGATGTGTTCTCATATTTATTGGCGAGCATAGTGGTATTTTTTGGCCAGTAATCCCCAAACTGTAACACTCAGGTTCCCAAATCTGATGCACCTTTTCACATTTTCGCTACTCTATACTGCTTGGAGATGTACCTATTGAGCACTTTTAGTGGAGCATCGGAAAAGATTAAATATTTGCTGAGCTGCAGCAGAGAATAGAAACACATAACTTTATGTATATGAAGTTTCTGGTCCTCTCTTTTTAAAGCTGAAGCCCATGAAAAATGAGATATCACCAATTAAAAGTAAGGGTCTTGTATGATTAAAAAAAAAAGTAGGTGGTCTTATGCACTGTACTGTACTTGCTTCATCTGCAGTTCCCTCTTACATTCTGTAATGTCACCAGCACAGAAGGTGAAGGCAAATCTCTGCGAAACATAGTGAAAGATAAAAACTTTTATTTTGTAAAGTGAGGAAGGGTTAGGACCAACTCT